GCTAGGCAAGCACTCTTACCAACTGAGCTACAACCCCAGCCCACAGCTTAGTTAATGCCATTAAGTCTTTAGCAGAGACACACAATATCAGGGAAACGACTAATGTTCATTTCCTATAAATTCAGTAGCTACCTAAAATCAAATGTACATAAACAAACTGCATCATAATAAGGGAAAATAGAATCACTTCTGGTAGGCAATCATCCAAATAAACATGAGTTAAGACGCCCATGGAAATCTCAGAAATGAAAGGTTTTCATTTGTTTGTTTTTGAGATAACATCTTACCATGTAGTCCAGGGTGGCTTGCAACTCAAGATCCTCCTCCTTCCTGATCCCAAGTGTCAGAACTGCAGGGGTGTGCTACCACATTATACAGTATATATTACTCATTATACATTGTTTTTCCAATGTATAAGGAAGTTACTAATTTTTGGTTCAAGGTTTTAAAAAGGATTTTCAGTTTTTAATTATGCGTGCATATATGTGTCTCTCTGTTCAGGTCTGTGCACATGTGAGCGAAGGTGCCCTTGGAGTCTGGAAGACGGCATGAGATTTTTTTGGTTATGAAGCTACAGGTGATGGTGACCTGGCATAAGTGGGTGCTTGGAACTGAAATGTGGGTCCTTTGCAAGAGCAGTAAGTGCTCTCAACTCGTCTCCAGTCCCTGATCTCCAGTTTTTTGAAGCATCTAATATTTATGAGGTGTTTATTGTAGGCCTGACTGGGATCCTGAGAATTTAATAAACGGAATCTGAGTTTAATGGGAAGATCAATTTTTAAGGAGTTATCAGTACCGTATTTCTGAGTCAAATTCACTATGGGTATTAGGTTGTTGTCATTAGAGCTTTATGCCTTTGTGTTTTTAGACTATATGGATGTAAAAAATACTGTATTATATTTGACACAATACATTTTTTAATGAAGCTCTTCTTGGTAGTGAGCAGGCCACAGGCAATATATTTACAGTCATAAATTTTGCTATAGTGTCTTTTAAAAAATGATTTATTTTTATTTTATGTGCATTGATGATTTTCCTGTATGTATGTCTGTGTAAGGGTGTCAGATCCCCTAGAGCTGGAGTTACAGACAATTGTAAGTTGTCACATGGGTGCTGGGAATTGAACCTGGGGTCCTCTGGAAGAGCAGACAGTGCTCTTAACTGCTGAGCCATCTCTTCAGCCCCTGTAGTGAGTGTTTTAATTTTCATATTTGAAAGTAGACATTTATCATTTAAGGATATAACTTGTCTCACGGGAAATTTGTTCAACAATTATAGTCGAAGGCTCAAACAAATTCATATTTGTTACACAATATGTTTCTGCACAAATGACAAAGTATTTGAAGTTTTAGAGAGATGCCATTTAATCTCTGTGACCTTTATTTTACCACACACTCATTTATATTGTATATATAGGATTGATAAAAGATACAGAGCCCAAACCTACAAATAGTATTTTGTGGTCTAACTCATTTCTAGACCACAGCTATTTGGGGTTCAATATGCAAATCAGCTTTATAAGGCCATCTGCAGCTTTAAATGTAATAGCATGCTAGAAGTCTGGGATGGAAAAAAAATCCCATCTTGGTGAGAAGAAAATGTGCTGGGCGTATAAAACAAAGCACAGTGGTCTTTGTAGCTAACCTCTTTTGAAAGCTAGAAGCTGTATGGCAAACGTCGTGAAGAAACCAAGTCTGAGCCATGTGTCTCTAATCCACAGTAAGCTAATGTTCCAGGAAGACCCGCTGTCTGGCAGAGACAACTAACTCAACATGTGAGGCCCAGGTGCTTCCACTTACACTCACCCCGGATCCAGCCACTTCTGTGTTCACATGATGGGCCATGCCCTTGGCCACTTCTATCAAAGTAAACAGTAAGTAGGACCTGACAGAGTTATGTTTGGAAGGGTTCTCAATTAAACGAGGCATTGTGTATGAAGTGCCTGGTAAACAGAATGAACCCAATAAATGTTAGCTTTTTAAAAATTCTGCACTTGCATTGGAGGAAGCCCAGAAATAGCAATGAAAGCAGCAGTTGTTTCCACCCCGGGAGGCCTGATCGCAACCATTTTATTCCAGCTTACAAGAGGACAGAGTTACATTGTGTTGTGGTTTGCAGGATGAAAATACGGTTGGACTTAACTGTAATTTTATCATGCTACCTTTGTACCATTCTGCATTGACTTTAAAATCAGCCATCTTGGGTGGACTTCCTGTTGTTTTTAGCGACTTATAAACAAAGTACCTATTTTCCTATACTGCTTTTCATAGGTGCATGGGGAAAGAGAGGGCATAGCATGAAACAAGTGACCAAAATGAATGACTGGCCTGTGTGATGAGTATTTTAGGGAAATTCCTACAGTAACAAACACACAGGAGTTCTTATAAACTATAAGAGGTCTTTAGGCCACGTGGAAAGCTGAATTTCGTTCATATACAGACACTCTATAAACCAGGAGGGCATCTTTTTTTCTTTCAGGGGTCACTGACCCACAGGAAAAATATCAATAGTCACAAAGCAGTTAAAAGGAATTTAATTTTAAAAAGTAGTGCATTATCTTTAAAAGTCACAGTAAAAAGTGAAACAGCTGACTTACAGTGAGACCATACACACACACACACACACACACACACACACACACACACACACACACGAGCAAAATCACCAAAATCACCAAAAGGATAGCACAAAATTGTATTCAATACACCCTACAATGGACATATTTAGATTGCATTTTAGTTATAGGATGGGCAGTAATGGAATGGAGGAAAAAGGATGGGAAAGAGAGAGAGAGAGAGGGAGAAATAGAAATCAATAGATAATAAGAAAAAATAGCAAGCTGAATGGTCATGGCACATGCCTTTAATCCCAGTGCTCAGGAGGCAGATGCAGGGGATCTCGGTGAGTTCAAGGCCAGCCTGGTTGACAGAGTGAGTTCCAGGACAGCCACGACAACACAGAGAAACCCTGTCTCAATGCCCCTATCCCACCTCATGCCACAAAGAAAGAAAAAAAAAATACCAACACAGGAGACAGTCTTTGGAACTGTTTTTTTTTTTTAATTACTTTTTAAAGTACTCACCAGTCATGTTTTGATCTGTGCTAACTTCTTTAGAAACTACACTTTTTTTTTCATTTTAAAGGTTTTTTTTTTTAATTTTTGAGATTGTATTTTAATTACAAACATATCTGTCCCCAGTTTCCTCCTAATTCATGGCCTCTTTTTTCTTTTTGATTTTATTCGTCTCTCATACAATACATCCCAACTGCAATTTCCCCTCCCTCCACTCCTCCCAGTTCTCCCCTCCCAACCTCCTCTCTCCCCAGATCCACTGCTCCTCCATTTCCCTCAGGCCTCCCCAGATATCCACCAAACAACATATAACAAGACACAGTAAGACTAGGCACATTTTTCATCAATTGTTATCGCATTCATACTTGTATTTGTATATACATATATATCCCCAAATACAATCTGTTGAGTCCACATACTGTTACTTGTATGTATGTTTTCAGGGCTCACCATTTTGCACAGAACAACCAGTTGAAAATACACTTATTATTCCTGTTCTTTCCAAAGAGGTATTTTCAGTATCTTTCCTTCAAAATTCTTACTGGGTCTACCATTATCTAATTAAATTTTCTATAATGATGAAAACTTTCTGTATGGGTGCCACACGTGACAATTCAGTACTTGAAGTGTGGCTAGTTAATCAGCAATGGGATTTCTAAATTTATTTCATATCATCTAAGGCTACTTACTATACTGGACACTGAAGATTTGAGGGGCATTCATAGTTGCAAGGAAAATGAACGCAAGGTGATGTGTAGATGAGTAAGCATAGATGAACGTGAATTATAACCTTTCCACAGGATTTCACCCCATTTTTCAGAGGGTTGCCTTTTTTAAAATACTAAGTGCTCAGTAAAGAATATCATTGCCAAATCTGTAATGATGTGCCCTATAATATTTTGGTCAATGACAGACCAGTACAGTGGTTATAACATTCAACAGTTCTTGAATATTACAAGGAATATTACAGAAAATTCCTATCACCCAGTGATATGAAAATCATGGGAACATTTTGTGCAACACGTAGCTCATGTATGTGCTGATGCTGGTGGAAGCCTTCTGTTTCTAGCCCTATAGTATATAGTCAATAAAATACAGTACATAATACTAGCTACTCCATAGTAACTGTTGCTGGTTTCTGTGTTGGGTATCCTTTTCATGACTTAAGGAAGTGTTCACTACTTTCATGCTGTCATTTTGATACTAGATAGCTACCGACCAGCAGCTTGAATAGTTTTGGTACTATTTCACATTTCCTGGCCTTCTTTCCCTTTTCAGTGCCATTATATTGATATTCATGTAAACTATCCTTTAATAATAATGTCTTTTCTACTAGAAAACCGTGTTTTCTGTAGCTCCTGGAGGATCAGTACTTTGGACCTCGGATAATCCTGAAAAAGGAGACATGTGGACTACAAAGAAGGTACTTATCATTCTAATGGCCTGGGTTAGTCACCAAGCATCATCCCATCCTGCTTGCTTGTCGCGTAGTAGGTCATTAATATTTGCTTTATGAATGAATGTAGGACTAAAGGCCAGTTAGCAGTGTGCGAAAACCAGAGGCCTTCCATAATGAGTGTGGAGTAGCGCGTCTTAATATCCTCATGAACTAAGCCCTTTATCTTGACTTTTGGACCAGAATGAAATTCTATGCAAGCTTTTCCCAGCAATGGCTGAGAACGTGCTTCCCTGCATATCCTGTCATCTATACGCATCTTTTCCCTCCATTTGAGAGCCACGATTGCCCCTGCTGTACACCACATGGCCCCCCACTTCCCGCACCGCCCGCCCCCTCATCAGCCTCGGCTGCCCGCTGTCCCCGCGAGTTCCAGAGCCCCATTTCATCCCTGCCCGTCACGGAACTGTGCGTAAATCCGCTCTCTCCCCCGACCCCCGCCACCTGCGTCCAGCTTCCGCCTCTGAGCACCTAGTGATGCAATGCTCTGCTTCCGCGTCGGCGACGGCGTGGGCAGTGACGTCACCGCGCCCTGACGTCAGGCCAACGTGCAGCGCGGTCGCCCGGGAGACCGGGGAAGCCATTTCACGTCCTTCGGAGTCCCGGGCTAGGTGAGGGTCACAGTCTTCCTCAGTTCCTCAGTTCCGGCGCGGAGGCTAGCGGCGCGGGACGGCGGGGATGGCGGGGGCGACGGGGAGGACGGGGGTGGGGAGACGGGGGCGGTGGGGGCGGGGAGGCGGGAGCGGGGAGGCGGGAAGACAGGGCAGCCGCCTCTGGGCCAGGCCTGGGCAAGCGCGGTCAGGCGGTTTGTTTCCAGTCTCGGGACGTGACCTCCCGCTCGCTCTCCTGCCCCTGACCTGCCCTCATGTGATTCACGTCCCCGGAATGGTACTTGAGGAAGGGCCTGGAAACAGAACTCGAGTTAATGACCGGGCGTGACATTGGTGTAAGAATCGGAAATGAACCACCAGGGACGTTTCTGCATTTGAAAACACACGTCTTTCTCGTGACCCCCACGTAGGTGCAACCACGTACCACTGTTCTTTGCCCAGGGCAGTTTACACATGTATAATGGGAAAGACCAAAGGGAACTTGTTTGGTAAAACAGGCAAAATAATGGACGGGCAAATTAAAAATTCCAAGTCTTCTCTTGCCAAAAAGCAAACACTCCCCTCCCTCACCCCAAAAAACCCTGAATTATCTGTGAATTCTTCCTCTGTTCTTTTTTGGGTATTCAAATCTTTATAAAGACCCAGTGGGCTTTTCCTTAAAATATAGGCATAACAAAAAATAAACATTGAAGAAAGTAGTGTCTCTGTCGTCATCTGGGGAATTTAGGTGTCTGCCTTCCTACTTGAAACCATCTGCACTCACTGCTTAGCAGAAAAGCAACTAGCTCCCACAGACTGTGGCCCCAGTTTACATGGGTTTTACAATAATGGATAGCAAACAGTGTTAAAGACCTTGTTATATGAGGACGAATTTGTGATGCTCTTGGGAGGAAGGCAATGCATGTATCTCAGCTGTATGAAAAGAATGGGATCCCTAATCTTGTTACCATCTTTTCTGCGATGTGCATCAAAGTCAAGTTCAACACTTCATTCCGATTCTCCCCCAACCCTGTGTTTTGGAGGGCCCTCTAATTTTCCAGGGTGCTATTTTTAATTTTTCTTTCTTAGTCTGAAGGCTGCCACTTCTGGTGGCATAGTAATAGGTTGGGGTAGAGTCACAGTGAAGGCACTAAATAAAATACGTTCCACTGGTACCTTAAATTTATACTGTTATTTAGACCCATGCTCACTAGTACTTTGGTGGATGGTACTTTACAAGGAGAATTAGTTGGTAATTTTAGGGGAAAATATTCCTAGTGGAGCTGAAGATATTATCCTTTCCATTAACTAATGGTGGCTTAACTGACGATAATGAGCCGCCTGGTTTCTTGCCATGTGACTGTGACAGTATGCCAAACATCAGATTATGTACTTGGTCGCTTGGACCCAGTTCGACGTAATTAACTTAACTCTCATGGTTGACCTCAGTTCACATTGCCAAATATACACATTGTCTTGTGTTATATGTGGGAAGACAACTCATGAGTTGTCTGTTTTAAACAGCAGCTTACTGAAATGAGGGATATGTGGGCTAACACAGAGTTGAGGAATCTCCCTCCCACCAATGGTTGAGCAGTTTGCAATAATAACACCAGTATTATTTTTGTCTTTAGTCTCTTGCCCTGACCTAACACAAACAACCTTAGGAAGCTTTTGCTAACTTTCCATCCCCACCTAAAAGATAGGTCAATATTCCTTTCTTGACTCTTAACATTACCTCTGTGTATCAGTCATGGGCTTTAGTGTAGCCGGACACATTTCTCTGTCCTGTGGTCCCGCAGCTGCTTTTAAAATAATCATTCAGAGGCTTAATGTTAATTACAAACTATTTGGTCTATGGCTCAGGCTTCTTGCTAGCTAGCTCTGACACCTTGAATTAAACTGTATACCACCACATGTCTCGTGGCTTTACCTGTATTCCATTACATCTTGTTCCCCTTGTGGCACTTGGGGTCTCCCCTGACTCCACCTTCTTGTTCCTGTATCTTTGCTTGGATTTCCCCTTCAGGCTATAACCTGTCTTGCCATAGGCCAGAGCAGCTTCTTTATTAACCAATAGTAGCAACACATATTCACAGTGTACAGAAAGACCATCCCACAGCACTTTAGACCTTCTTTTCTGCTGGGGAATCTGTGTCTTTATCATTTGAATCCGCTGCACCACTCCATACCACCATGCTGGACTTGGCATCTTCCACTCGTGTGTGTGTGTGTGTGTGTGTGTGTGTGTGTGTGTGTGTGTGTGTGTGTGTGGTTAGTATGCAGGTATGTATTCATGTTCATGGGCACACCTGTGTATGCATGTTTATGTATGTGTGCAGGCCAGAGGTTGATGCCAAGTGTCTTCATCACTCTCACCTTACAGGGTCCCTCATCTGAATGCTGAACTGGTTAGTTCAGCAAGTCTAGCTACCCAGTTTGCTTCTAGGAACCCTGGTCTCTGACTCCCAAGTCTGGGACTTCAGGTGGACTTCCATACCAGCCCTGTATTTGTGGGTGCTGGAGTTACATTTGTGTGGCCAGGACTTTACTCAATAAGCCATCTCCCTGTCCTCTTTACCCTTTCCATGGATAGATTTATCTTTCACTGGTAAAATTGGATGGGGTAGTCTTTGTCCAATTTGGGAAAAATCTGAAGGAAGAAAATGTCTCTGTTTCCTGTGGTTTCATGAAAGCAATAAAAAGAGTTTTATACTGAATTGTTGTTGTTAGAAAATGAAAATCTGTTAAAAGTACAATCTAGGTAAATTTGCATAGCTATCCATCCTGGCTGCAGTTGGCATGTGGTCTTTGATACTTTGGTGGCTCTTCTGTTCAGTGTCTATGTATTCCAACTTAGTAACTCTAAGTGTTTTTTGTGCTTCATAGCTTCAAAAAGCCTTGTTGGCACATTTCTTTCTAAATCTTTTCAGAAAAATGTTATTTTAGAATACTGAAAGTCTATTTAAAGTCTTAGTTACTCTGTTGCAAAACAAATAATTAATAAACCACTATTATTTTATTGTTAGTGTATAACTTTCTGAAAAATAGAAAAGTTATATGTCAATAATTTTTATAGCTCCCCATGTGGCTTAAGGACTAACCACAAAAACTTAAATTGTACCTTCTAACATGGACTCGATAAAACAAACATCTGTCAAAGTACTTATTGCCGGTTTGTCCCCAGATACTAAGAATTTTTACATCATTTGAATTTTCCTGTCAATGTATGAATTCTGACTATTGCCATCAATGTTTTTAGACTGTTTTTCTGCAGTGCTTTCTCAGTACATTGGGAGAATTATGAATCGTCACATTCCTGTGCATGCATTACCTGAAGAAATCCAAAAGGTATGATCTTGCATTATAAGAGTTTAACATTAGGAGTGTTTTAGTGGTTAGGTCATTCTAAAGCATAGGAGAGTGAATTTAAAAAACTCTGACAGAGCCAATGATTAATGTTCACGTTTGTAACTTTTTGTGATTTTTTTTTTGCATAATGCATTTTCACATCCATCAGTTCTCACCATTCACTATGTGCCAGCTGCCGTTTGGTTTTGTTTTGGACAGAGTCTAATTGTAGACTTGGTTGGAACTCACTATATAGACCGTGCAGGCCTGGAACTGGCGGTGATCCGCCTTCCTTTGCCCCCTGAGTGCTGGGGTTAAAGGTGAGCATCGCCACACTGGTGTTTAGATACGATTTTAATCTCTTACCAGTCGGTTTTGTCCTTTGCTCTGTGCAGATGGAATTGTGGTGAGGCACGGGGAAGCTGTCCAGGGTTTATTATCTCTTAGCAGTTTTGAGTGTTGGTAGCAGGCAGGCAGGAACAAAAGTGGGTAGCTCTCCGCAGTACTCAACTCTGGGGCAGGCCTTGAGGAGCAGGAGCCTTAGCTTTGGAAGTGTTAGAGTTCCTGTGCGAGCTTAGAGTACCAAGACCCTTAGCTTTACAAGTATTTCACTCTTGTGTAGACCTAGGAAGCTGAGATTCTTAAGCTCTTGATGGTGACCACTGTTTAAGCTCCTAGGCCTGGGACTACCTGAAGACTCCTGGCCTTAAAGGCCTTACACTTCCTGAAAGTCTTCTAGTGACCAGGGCCTGCAATTCTCTGGCCCCTCACAGGCTCCAGCGTCCCGTGCTGTGTGTCCTCCCAAGCTTCCTCTCGTTCTTGCCCTGGCTTGGCTTGTTCAGTGGCCTCTTGTTGCTACGCCCGTTGTCTGAGTTGCCACTGTCTGTCTGGGGCAGTTACTAATGTTCCTTTGCTACCGTTGTGGTCACATGCACAGCTCAGTGGCTCCACCTCCTTTGCAGCTGCCACTCTGCTGCTTTTACAGCCTGGACTGTTGACCCTCCAGCTCTGCTTTACTCCAGCTGTTGAGCAGCTGGCTGCTCTGCTGCTTCTGTGACTCGGTGTCCTGGCTGCCCAGCCATGACTGCTGCCGCTGATCCGTTCCACTGTCTCTGTTCTTGTTACCAGCTCAGCCTGTGCCACCAAATGTGGATGAGAGGACACCCCTGGGAAGAAGCCGTTTCTTGAGCCCAGTGTGGCAAACAGAGAGGAAACACAGCTCCCTGAGTGAGCACACAGCCGGTTTATGTAGCCAGAGAAAAGGTGTTTGCTGGAACCGCAGCCAACCTCCCACGCAAACGGTTTTGTCTTGGCACCACACAAGACAATGTCTCCTTTGTGCCTGTCTGTAACAGACACTTTGCTAGGCCACCATGGAAAATGCTCCCTGTCTCTGGCCTAGGTCATCTAGAGTTTACTTAGGCCTGCAGTAGCAGAAACTCTGGTACAAATGGTTTGAAACAGTTCTAGCTATGGCTGCATCTTCAGGAGCCAGAGCAGGCATCTGTGATCATTGTGCCATTTGTTCAGGACCTCTCAGAAGTGTGCAAAATGGCAGATGCTGGCCTAGAATAGTCCAGCTGGCTATCCGACCGACAGTCTTTTTAACTCAAGGCAGCCGGGGCAGCAAGGGAAAGCCTGACAGCTGCATCTAGAGAATCAAATGACCACATCCCCCATATCTTTGCTTATTTATAAGAAAACGTAAGTTTTTAAGTAAGAACTTAGTACTAGTACTGGTAGTGATTCTAATAGTACTTTAATAACAGTGCCTGTATAACATCCCGAGAAAAGGTAAATTCCCCCTTTTGTTTCAATTTCATATTTAAAACAAGTGTGTGTGTGCGCGCCCGCGCACATGCTCCAACATGTGCCACAGCATGCAAAGGTCAGAGGATGACTTATGGGAGTTGGTTCTCTTCTATCGTGTGGGTCTTGGCAATCTAACTCAGGTTGTCAAGCTTGGCCATGAGTATCTTTATTTGCTGAGCTGTCTTAAAGCTTTAATTTCATATTCATAATTCGTTTAGTCTAGTTAACAAGCAATTCTTGTTTTTTATGCTACCCTTCCTATTACTTTACATCTGTTCTCAGGCAAAGGCATTTCTTCTATATTTAGTTTTACAATCCATATATTGTTAATATAATAATTAAAAAATCACCTCTTCAAACATCGTTGACATGAATTGTGAGTTACAACCTTATACCTTAGCTGTTCCTATTGATACAGTTTCCCTAGCAAGTCTAGCATCAGCTCCCTACTCCCCTTAATCCTGCTAGGAAATGAATGTCTCAAGCATGTCTGTAATAGAGCTGTACCCCAGCCTTACAGCCAGCTCTTCATTAACTAGTAATTTATCACTCTCCATTGAAAACCATGCTCAGATTCAGATGGGCTTTTGCCACTGTTCCGGCTGCTGTGGACAGCCTGTTACCATCAATCACAGCATCGATTTGACTTGGTGCTGTTCTTGCTGCCCACCATCCAGATTTATGGAAATTTTAAAGGAAGTGTAGTTACCAGAAGGGATCCTTTAAATCACTGCATGCAGTTCTCTTTACCTTTGTAGTTAACTGTCAAATGCTAAGCACATAGGAAGCTTGACTATGCTGATACCTCAAAAATAGTTCTTCCATGGGTTTGAACAAATTCAAGGTCTTCCTCTCACTTGAACTGTGTTCCTTTTGTGAAATAGCTTAAGTGTGGGAGAGAGATGAAAAAAATCATTAAAAAAACCCACTAAAAGCAAAAACCCATATTTCAGATCCTAATCACTTGTTGGAAAGAAAATGAAGAAACATTAAATATCTACCAGACAGTGGTATGATTTCAGTTTCATATAAGACAGTGCCCAGGAGGCCAGAGGTGGTTCAGCTGCTATAGGTATCTGCTGCCTGACTTGATGATCTCATTTGGACCCCTGGGACCCATGATGGAAAGAGAACTGACTCCTGCAAGTTGTCCGTGTGAGAGTGGAGAGTTGAAGACCGCAATCCCTGGGTACCGGAGGTCGTCAGAGGTGGAGTTTTGTGTCAAAGACACGGACCTAGGGTTGGTTCCTGAGAGCTGAGTTTTCTATAGACTTAGAGCTGGGGAGTGCTTTTGTCATGTTGAGATAGTGAGAGGTAAGGATGGCAGGACTATGCTGGCAATGCAGAGTAGGGACAGCCAGAGAGGCTCAGCTGTCTACACCAGGGACAAGTCTACTAGCTGGAGCCTTGTCCTGCCCAGTGTGTAGAAGGTAAAGTATAGATTTGTGCTTCTTTTCAGACCTAAGTTAGATACCTTTAAGTAAAAAAACACTTTTATACCCATTAGTGTCATGCGCTCTTCTGGTGGTTTGACCAGAACCAGATAAAGCAACCAAAATGTGTATGGACACCCCCAAACTTAGAAGGTCTTCAAAAATAAGCTTTTCTTTTCTGAAACTTTTCACCTATGTGTTATCTGCATTGTCCATATTTATTTAATTACCTAATCATCAGGCAGTATTCTGTGTTGCCCACTTGCATAAGTTATTCTATAGAGAATCATGGTAAATATATGAATATTCAGATTGGACATCCCTGATATGAAATGCAAAATGCTTCAAAAGCTGGAAATTTTCAAGTGCTTATATTATCTACAAATGTAAGTTTTACATTGTGAATTTCTGTTTCATGCATGCACTTACTAAGATGTTGTGTAGGATCACACTTAGGCTAGGCATTTAACACAGGTGTAAAACATAAATGGATATTGTATTTAGACTTGGGTCTTAGTTCAGAAATCTCATTTTATATATACATACAACCCAAAGTCTGAGAAAATCTAAAATCTGAACCACTTGTGTTCATAAGCACTTCACTTAAGGATAATTATCATGTATAATTTGTATTGATAACAGTAATAATTCAAATTAGAATTGATTCATTTTTATGATGGAGAAAAAGGGACTTTTTTTCATAATGGCTTAGAAAATATGCTCCATTTTTTTTCCTTGAGGAAAAAAGACTTGAGGTGGATGAATCAGTGTACAGTGACAGAGATGTCTTTCAAAGCCTTTTTTTCTTCTTTCATTCTTTCTTGTCTCTTACTTTTTTTGTGTTACTTTATAGTCTGGTTCTTCTTCCTAAAGAAGCCCTGCTGTGTTTTCTTTATTTTCTTTTTCTGTGTATAGGCAAGGAGGGCTAGTGCAGAAATCAGAGAGGAGAGGCGAGAGAGCCTTTCTTCTTTCTCTCTGTACTTTGGCTGTGTGATATGATAATGGGTGTGCAGTGCATTAGAATGTGAAGATGGCTGTCTTCACTGTACCGTTAATAGCAAATGAGCAGTACCAGAGAAAGGACACTTGGAGGAAATAAAAAGGAGGTGAGAGAGATGGCCATCAAAGGAAAGAGTGGAGAAGAATGATGATGCTAATAAGCTCAAGTTGGAGTCTCTTGCCTGCTTAGAGGCAAAGATTAAGTCTCCTTTTGTTGGTCTCATCTCCTCAGGGAATCTTAGGGAAGAAGGAAGATAATCTTTGACTTTCATTTCCTGGTTCTTTTTATCACAGTTTCCAGCTGAGCACAGAGCACTTCTCAGACTTCCATCTCCTTAAGTGACAGAAAATGTACAAGAGGCCCATGGGGCCTATGTGTCCCATTTGTCTTTTGCTGGACTCTACAATTCCTTCTGTGTGCATTTAGCACCATCTCTGAGTCTGTTCTTTCTCTGGGCTGAGCTGCTCCCTACCTGTCTCTGACCTCAGATAACCAGCAGTGTTGCTGGAAGCTTCTGCCAGTATTCTGCCAGTCGAATGCAGCATTCTTTTACTCTGACAGTTCACGTCGAAAACAGAACTGAGGGATCAGCAAAGCAATAATTGTGTATCTCCTCCTCTTGTGAGTGTCAACTCACTTTATGGACTTATCATGTCCTCTTGTTAGAAAAATAAACAAATTTCTTTTGCTTTTTTTGCTAGGGGTTGTGGGTAAGTCAAAAGCAGTGAAGTAGTGGAAAGTCAGTCCACACAGAG